ACTCAAGTAAAGTACAGATACTCAAAAAATGTACTTAATTACAGTAATAAAGTAAAAGTACTTTGTTACTGTCCACCACTGAATAAGATTCAGTTTAAAATAAATAAAAACGTTTATCAGATTATTTTCATTGCATTGTGTTTGTGTTTGTGTGAGAAAGGAATATTAAAAATAAAAAAGACATTTGCTTTGAGATCTTTTATAGCATCTTTTCTAAAAGCTACACCTTCATCTGAAACATTTGTGCCACCGCCCTCTAGTGGCAGCACAAAGCAACAACCACAAATCTGTGCCAATATTAAAAAAGATTTCCCTCCCCGCAGTATGGAGGAGTGGGTGCCATGGCCATCACTTTGTGTCAGAGTCTCGGCCAGAACATCGGGATGAGGTGGAACAACGCTCGAACCTCAGCRGGTGAGTCAGAAAAAAAAGGACAAGTAAAAATGGAAACTGAATATGATTTATCCTAGCGGTGATGATGATATTTAGYAGATTTGTTCAGTAATTAGTTTGTTAGTTGTGTCTGCTACAAGAAAGAAGGAGTAAAAGTTAAATCACTGCTGCTGAGCTCAGTAATTGATGTTAAAGGACCATGAGGCACATTATTCAGTGTCAGGACCAAAGATCAATACTCTGAGGCCCATTATCTCCTCTATAGAAAGGCTTTGATTTTGTTTTGCAGCATTTACCTGTCAAAACGACCCAAGCACATTTTTAGATTCCTGAAACCTGGATCATCCTGATCTCATGAGTGGTTCCAGAGATATGCCTTTATTTGTCTTCCTAATCAGGATAACTCGTTTGTATTTGGTTTGAATCCCATTTTTAGTTTATTCTAATGAGAAATCGTTCATGTCAGTTTTTAAAAGGAAGCAAAATTTAAATATTAAAATTTACCAGCTGGGAAGAAAAACACTTCTAAGTTGCCTGGAAAATGACAAAAATTCACAGCTTTCCTGCTCAAAAATCATCAGTCTTTGTAGCTACTGCGCAAAAAAGTGCATCAAAAAATTCTTTTAAGTTTATATTTCTGATATTTCATTTAAACGACTCGWAGAGAAGGTGTTTTGTTATTTATTATAGTTTGGCAAATTGCGATGGTTTCTCATTTATTCTCTTTTGCAGGTGACTGCAGGTGTCCGGATGCCTGGGTGGGCTGCATCATGGAAGACACCGGGTAATTTCCCTCWCTTCCCTTCCTTCAAACAGTCAGCTGCTGCTAATCACAGCCTCCATCTGAAGCTCARAGACCCTCTGTTGATGCAGCAGACACTAAAATTCTGTGGAACAATAGGCAATTTTTAAAACGAAGTATTAACTGTGTGAGTGATTTGGACTGGGCTCCCCCTGACAGATGGAACAATGCAGATTTTAATGATCTGAGTTGTGTTTTACTGCAGATGGTAACATTTGTGTCAGAATGCAAAGTGACGGCGCGGACACCCACGATAGATCTGGACTTCCTTACTGGCCAAAAAGCATTGTGCTGTTTGTGTTTTATGTTATGTCTTGATCTTTGTGTGTGTGTGTGTGTGTGTGTGTGTGTGTGTGTGTGTGTGTGTGTGTGATCACAGCTTCTATCTGCCCAGAAAGTTTTCTCGCTGCAGTGTTGACGAGTACATCCAGTTCTTGCTCCAGGGTGGTGGGAGCTGTCTCTTCAACAAGCCCAATAAGGTGAGGGCCATGTGTCGTCTGTCAATGAGTCAGAGGCAGAATGTTAAGCTTTTTATTTCCTCTACTAACACCTTTTTTTCCCCCAAATATCTCTATAWATGTCAATACTCTCTTACATTATGYTCCCAATTTCAGCTGTTGGACCCTCCAGAGTGTGGGAATGGCTTTGTGGAGCCAGGAGAGGAGTGTGACTGTGGCTCCCAGGTGGTAAGCATCCAGCTTTATGTTGTGCAGATGGGAAAGCTCTTCCTCTTTAAGGTGACAACCTATAAGKGAGGCGCTTCTTGTTTTCCTGCAGGAGTGCGCTCGCAGCGGAGGAAACTGCTGTAAGAAGTGCACCCTCACCCATGATGCCATGTGCAGTAACGGACTCTGCTGCAGCGACTGTAAGGTGAGCTAAAGGGGGGGTGTTATGTATTTTCCAGGCACAGTTCAATTCTATTCCACAATCAGATAAATATGTTACCTTCAGCTGTTCTGAAAGTACCATATACTGCATATATAAATACATTTAACTTTGCATCATAGTCCATTTAAACTCTTGAAATTGGCCTCTGTCTCTTTAAAGGCTGAGTTATAGTCACGCTTTGGGTACTGGAGCAGTGTGTGTGCACCCTCGCCAGCAGATATACTACGCTATTTTGTTGTAGTATTCTCAAAAGGCCACGCGGAAGTGCACTTTATAACTTGTGAAAATGTCGTAAATAGGAGAGCAAAAGCTTGATGAACAAACAAACATTTTGAGTGATGAGCGTCGTGCGCAGCCTTTGCAGAGTTACAAAAATTCGGAGGTGCACGACCACGCGCCTGGACACCGCGCAGGGGCGGGGACAGCACGAATGCGTCACTATTGGCGCCCTCTCCCTCCCGTCCGGTGCGAAGTGTCTTTTGTAAAGCCTAGCTTAATACCCTCCTACCATTTCTGACACTCCCACTTCAGCACATCTTCACAACAACGCTTCAGGGGAGGGGGTGGTCTTAGGGGCGGGAGCTCAGCTGCACAATGAGCTCAAGGCAAAAGCTGTGTACAAATGGGCGGAGCTTTGTACCAGCAAGTATTTAGGCAGTTCAACATGGCTATGATGAGTCAAATCAACACTCTGGGTATGTTTTTGATGAGGTAATTACACAGAGGTCTATAAAGTACTGGAAAGGAATAACTAAGTAAAAGTAAAATTACATGAACAGAAAATGACTGGTAAAAATAAATTTCACTGATGAGGATACTACTCAAGTAAAAGTCATAAAACTGTTCACAAAATTTATGAAAGTAAAAGTACTTTTACACACTCGCTAAGAAATAAACTGTTGAATTTACTAAAACCAAACCGGATCCACTAAGCCAGGTTGAGTAAACTGAGCAAAATATTTATATTATCTGCTCAATTTACTCAACAAGGCTTAGTGGAGACAGTTAACATGACTTTGTTGAGTAAATTCAACGCTTCATTTTTTAGAGGGCATAAACATTATCTTTCATGATGAGTTCAAACATATTTAATTTTGTAACAAGTAACTAGAGTTACATTGTAAAGTAAAGAAGTAAAAGTATAATTTTTAGCTTTAAAATGTAACAAAGTAAAAGTAGCTATTTAAAAAAAATATTGGTAAAATTGCAAATCTTCAAAAAACGATTTAAGTACTGTAATGAAGTAAATGTACTTAGTTACTATAAACCTCTGGAATTACATTATAACATGATATAAATCTAAAAAAGGTCAATTTTGCTCAACCCCCGCCTCTTTAAAACAGAATCCAAACAGTCAGATACAGGGTTAAATTGCTCAAAACTACCTAAGACACCAAGTTTGGTTTTAAACTGAGTTTCAGAAACAATGATCTTCTCAAACATGTTGTGTTTTTGCTCTGTGCGTTCTGCGTGAACACAGTTTTATATCGCATGTGTCCGTGTGTGTTGTGATGCGCACAAAACAGGACCCTTTGTGTGCAACTCAACGTCTGTTTTTCAGCTCCTCACAGACACACAAACATGTGCTGGTGAAAACATTGTGCCATCTGGAGCTTTGAGCAGCGTGTCCGTTCAGTTTGGACTGACTGCAGAGGCTAAAGTGGCCTTCCTCCTGCAGGATGCTCCTGTCTGTGTTTCTTCAGATATAACACCACCTGGTGGTTATTATCAAACCACAAACTGAATCATTAAGATGAATAAAACATACAGAGAGTTTKTCTAAAAACTAGTGTTTCTAGTGTGAATTTGTGCAAAATGAATCTTTTAACCCTAACCCCTGTAAATCAGCTGTGTAAGTCCTTTTTGTGTTGGATGTTTTCTGTCAGTACGAACAGAGAGGTGTTGTTTGTCGAGAGGCCGTGAACGACTGTGATATCCCTGAAACCTGCACCGGAGACTCCAGCCAGGTAAAAAAAAAAAACATCTGGATAAAACTTTCAAATCATTTAAAGACAAGTTTTCAAAATGTTCAGTTTTTTATTTCGTCTTTGTTTTTTGCAGTGTCCTCATAATGTCCACAAACTGGATGGTTACATGTGTGATATGAGCCAGGTAGGAGCTAGATTGAGACTTATTTTTTTATCTGCAGCCTCTGCTGTGAAAGGCTTTAATGTTTGCTGTTCACCTCCACAGGGACGCTGTTACAGCGGACGCTGCAGGACTCGTGACGGACAGTGCAAAGGACTCTGGGGCTTCAGTATGCATTGAACACCTAACAAACCTTCATTTCTTTTAAGGTGGTTTGCTTATGTTTTTGGATTCATTCCATYCGTTGTTTTAAATCCTGTAGATTCGGCRGACAGGTTTTGTTACGAGAAGCTGAACGCTGAGGGGACAGAGAAAGGGAACTGTGGTCGGGGYCCTGRAGGGAAAGGCTGGCTGCAGTGCAACAAGCCGTGAGTCACGCCGACGTTCTGAACTTTAGATCACTAAAAGATGGTCTGCTTCTCACCGCAYGTATTTCTCTGCTCGCCTCAGGGATGTATTATGTGGCTTCCTTTTCTGTGCCAACGTCACGGCGAAGCCAAAGTTTGGTGACCTGCAGGGGGAGGTGACCAGCTTCACCCTCTATCATCAGAACAAGTATCTGGACTGCAGGTAGATTTCAGTTTGTTCACAAACAGGAACACGGTTATCAGTCGTTGCTCTAAGTCAACCTTTCCTCACCTGTGGATGCTTCGCTCAGAGGTGGTCATGCTCTGCTGGAGGACGGGTCAGACATGGGCTACGTGGAGGACGGCACTCCCTGCGGTCCCAACATGATGTGTTTGGAGCGACGCTGCCTCCCTGTCGCCGCGTTTAACCTCAGCACGTGTCCGGGGTCAAACTTCGGACATATTTGCTCCGACCACGGGGTAAAAAATTTTTTATCTGCTCATATAACCCCAATTTCAATGAAGTTGGGACATTGTGTGAAACATGAAAACAAAATTTGTTGATTTGCTAATCTTTTTCAAACTTTATTCAATTGAATACACTGCAAAGACAAGATATTTAATGTTCAAATAGAATAACTTTATTGGTTTTTTGCAAATATTCACTGTTTGATTTTGAGGTCTGCAACACTTTCTAAAAAAGCTGAGCGTGTTTACCGTTGTGTTACATCAGCTTTCCTTTTAATAACACTCAATAAGTGTTTGGGAACTGAGGACAATAATTGAAATTTTGTAGGTGAAATTATTTTCATTCCTGCTCGATGTACAACTTCAGTAGCTCATGATCAGTCTGGGGTCTTCCTTGTATTTTGTGCTTCATAATGCTCCACACATTTTCAGTGGGAGACATGTYTGGACTGCAGGCAGGCAGGTAGATGTTGCTCCAAAACCTTTATGTAGCTTTCAGCATTATTGGTGCCTTCATAGATGTGTCAGTTACCCATGCCATGGGCACTAATACACCCCAATACCATCAGAGAGGCTGACTTATGAACTAAGCACTGATAACAATCCACAATTTTCCAAAAMCAATCTGAAATGTGGACTGGTCAGACCACAGGACACTTTCCCACTTTGTGTCAGTTCGTCTCAGRTGAGCTCAGGTCCAGAGAAGCCGACTGTGTTTCTGGGTGTTGTTGATCTCTGGCTTTGTCTTTACATGGTAGAGCTTTAACTTGCACTTGTAGATGTAGAGCTGAACTGTGTTCACTGGCAGTGGTTTTCTGTAGTGTTCCTGAGCCYGTGTGCTAATAACTGTTACAGAACGATGTTGGTTTTTAATGCAGCACCACCTGCGGGGTCAAAGGTCACATGCATTCAATGTTKGTATTTGGCCTTTCCACCTAGTTGCAGAATAACTGTAAATGATGAAACCCCTAAATCCCTTGTAATTTTTCTGAAGGAAATTTTGTAACTGATCAACTAAATGTTTGATCCAGTTTTGTATTTTTTATACTTTCTGATCATTGCAGCCATAAACAGAATGAGAGGTGGTGTGTCTTATCAGGTGGTTAACGTCTGATGTAAAAGGTAACACCTTCAGGGGTGTAACCAGGAAGAGACGTATGTTMAAAGGTTGATTCATCATTATATGAGTAGAAGTTTTTGTGGAGTCTCTGGCTTAGAGCAGCCTGGGCTCTGTGTTTTCATACTCGGATAAGACGAAGGTCATTTTACTCTGAGGCCTACTGATCATTGATTTGCTGGAGCTGATTGGAGTGAGAGAATGGAAAAAAGCCTTTTTTAGAAGAGATTCAACTGGTTTTAGGGCTGCAACGATTAATCGATTAATCGACGACTAATCGATTATTAAAATAATCGATGACTAATTTAATAATCGATTAATCGTTTTCTTTCTTTTTTTTGTTCTTTACTTTGTTTTTCTCTCCAAACTGCTTTGACACCTTCTGCTGCCACATCTGCCTTTCTGTCCTTGACACACATGCACAGTAGTGGTAACTGGGGTAGGCCGTGGACGTCACAAGACATTAWACAGACAGGCTCTGGTATCATGGCTACCTGACAACAGAGCTCAAAGTGTGGGATCATTTTAAGAAAATGAAAGAGAAACCTGTGTAATATCTGCAGAGCAGAACTTACCTTCCACAGCAATTATTTTTAGTTAGCATATAGCTAAAATCAAACGATGGTTATATAATAGCAGCTGCGTTCTAAAAATCCTATTTTATTATTTTAATCTATTTTCCTCTTTCAGCAACCTATTAAATTTCTGTTATGTTTCATGTAGGAGAAATACACATTTTTTCAGTCTGTATTTAATACAGCTGGCAAAAGAAATTGTTAAAATATGTATTATGTGCTTCTGTTTTTTAATTCAGGAGATTATTTTAAAAAATCCTTCATTTTATGGGAAGACCCTCTTGATTCAAGAGATAACTCCGGTTTTTTAAAAAATGGCTGCTTATTAATTAATTGTTAATCAATCGATAARATAAATCAACTTCAGATGAATTCATTATCAGTGACTTGCATCCTTAAGGAGTTAACTTAATTTATATCTCTTCATATTCATGTAATTAAGCATTTTAATGATTTGGCCGATTAATCGAAAAAAATAATCAACAGATTAATCGATTATTAAAATAATCGTTAGCTGCAGCCCTAACTGGTTTTCTACTATATTATTCAGACTTCCATTTATTAATCACAGATTTCCCTTCATTTCATTGAAAAATGTAATTTTTAAACAGGAGGACAGTTTACTCACACAGTTGTTCACAAAGCGATAAACCTCGTCCCATCCTTGCTTGTGAACGACAGCCTTTCGGAGATGCTCCCTTTATACCCAATCGTGACATTCATTAGGGGTGTAAGAAAATATCGATACACTGAAATATCGCGATATTTCATTTCCCGATACTGTATCGATATTCTAAAGCCCTGTATCCATTTTTTAAAGGTTTAAAATGTCAACTTTCCTGCCAGCCGTTAATTTTTATGTTGTAGTTCAGCCTCTGACCACCAGTTGGCAGCAGTGAGCCAGCCATTTGGCTCCTCTACCTCTTGAGGTAGAGGCTATTGTTAAGTGTTGGGTGACCATATTGTAAATTAATATTAAAACTAAAAGCTGCAAAAAATATATTTTCAAACTATTTATTGTCAAATTTAGTCTAATAATTGAAAACATGGATGAAATATGAAATATTAAACAAATAAAATAAAACACATACAAAGCAGAACACAGCTAAATGTATCAAAAGCATGTCTATGTAATATTAGAATTTTCTGAGACAATGAATTTTGGTTTTTCATTTTTTTCCCCAGTAAGAGGTTTTCATTTAATAGAATTTTTGAACAAAAAAAAATCACAATATATTGCCTTGTTTATAGTATCTCAATATATCGGGATATATCGTATCGTGACCCCTGTCATGATATGTATCGTATCGCCAAATTCTTGCCAATACACAGCCCTAACATTCATCACGTTTCCAGTTTACATGTTCACCTGGGAATGCTCCAAACAGCAGTTTTTAGCATTCCTCAACCCTCCAAGTCTTTTTTTGCCCCTGTCCTGCTTCTTTACATGTTGTACACATAAAATTCAAATTGAGTGAATATTGGAAAGTTAATTTATAAAGTTGATCCATTTTAACGTTAAATATCGTGTCTTTGTTGTGTATTCAATTGATTTTCAAACCATCGTATTCTATTTTTTGTTACGTTTTACACAACGTTCCAACTTCACTGGAATTTATTTAACATAATTTAAGAAAGAATAAAAGGAGCTTATATTAAACCTTTATATAACAGCGAAATGTTTTGTTTGTTGCAGACGTGCAGCAACGAGGTGAAGTGCATCTGTGACAGGGACTACACCGGGAAGGACTGCAGCGTGTTCGATCCCATCCCGGAGCCCACCGTCCCCACGGGCCCGGAGAAAAAAGGTCGGCAGCGCCTCCCAGCCTGTCCACGTCTCTCTCTGTCTGCCTCTCCTCTCTCCCCCTCTCATAATCTCTTCTCATCATGTTGCTGTACAGACACACAGAGGGGGTAGTTCACCTGACGCTTGTGAGAACGACTAAAACCTGGCTGTTTTCCCCTCCTGCTGAGTCTCGCTGTGCTCAGACGTTATTTATCCACCAGAGCATATGTGCTGACACAGTCTTTTGTTAAATGCGTGTGTGGTGCTACTGACTGTTTTCCAGGCGCTGTATTTTATTTATTTATTTTTTCAAGTGTCTTCCTTACTTTCTTGCAGTCTGCCAAATGACAGAGAAATTAAGCAGCTGCTCTTTTAGGGCCAAAAAAAAAAGGCCACAGGTGTCCGTCTGAAAGAGCAGGAGRGGGGAATGAGAACAAAGTAAAACAACTCTCTCTCCTTTGTTTTTAATGTAACTATTATCCCCCCTTTGCCCCCTCCCTTTGACCTCCCTCGCTCACACGCCTGTTCTTCCATCTCCACCCAACGTGACGGTCTCCTCCTYCTCCTCCCCTTCATCTCTCTGTYTCTGTCAGCAGGTATCATCTGCCTCTTTCTGTCTCTACTCGATGTCGTTGATGTTCYGTGATGGTGTCTCCTGACGTGTGTTTTTTAGTGGTGTTGTTTTGTTTCTGCTCCTCCTCCTCCTTGTCCTCCGCACCCTTCCTCCTCCCCTCCTCCCTCTGCCCAGGTCCCAGTGGCACCAATATCATAATAGGGTCCATCGCAGGTGCTATTCTCCTGGCAGCTATAGTCCTAGGGGGAACAGGATGGGGATTTAAGTAAGAGTTCTGGCATGCCTTTGTGTACCTGTCTGCTTCTACCTGAGGAAACCCCCCC